GAGCGGGACGCCTGCGGCGGGCTCGACGCGCGTGCTCCCCGGCAAGCCGAAGCAGTTCGATCCCGAGCGCTACCAGAAGTACAAGAAGGAGCTGCGCACAGCCGTGGTGGAGTACTACCGCCAGCTGGAGCTGATCAAGAACTACCGCATCCTGAACCTGACGGGGTTCCGGAAGGCGTTGAAGAAGTTTGAAAAAGTCACAGGCATCCACTGCCTGGACCTGTACACGGACGAGCGTATTGCGCCCTGCTCCTTCAGCCGCGGGGAACCGATCGACCAGCTCCTGAAGCAAACGGAGGAACTGTTCAGCGAACACTTTGAGCACGGCGATTTCAAGAAGGCCCGCCAGAAACTGCGCGGCCAGGACGCACACAGTACCCACTACCAGACCGTGTTCCGGAGCGGGACGTATATCGGCCTCGGCCTACCCGCCGCCGTGCTCGCGATCGTGCAGAGCTTCCACCCCGACGTGCGGCAGCAGTTGCCACAGTGGGGCGCCCTGCTCTGCATGTATGGCGGGCTGTACCTGCCGGTGCTGTTTGGGATGCTGTTCGAGCTGAATCTCGATGCCTGGGTCGAGGCGCGCATCAACTACGAGTTTGTCATGGAGCTGAACCGCCCCGTCCTCGACTACCGGAGCTACCTCGAGATCCCTGCGTTCCTATTCCTGACGCTGTCGTACTGCTTCTTCTTCTCGTTCTACTTCATCCACCTCCCCACCGTGGCGCCGACGACGTGGCCGCTCGCCTGGCTCGTGTTCGCGGTCGCGTTCTTCCTCAACCCGCTGCCCATCTTCCGGCGGCGGGCGCGCTACTGGCTCCTCCGGGTCTTGTTCCGCGTCATCACCCCCGGCATCTCGCGCGTGGAGTTTATAGCATTCTTCATGGCCGACGAGCTCAACAGTCTGACCTACTCGATCCAGAACATCATGTTCATCGCCTGCTGTTTCGGCAAGCACTGGCCCGGCAACGTCTCCGCCGTGTGCCCCATCGGCACGACGTGGCCGTATGCCCTGCTCGCGACGCTGGCCCCGCTCTCGCGTCTCATCCAGTGTCTCAAGCGTTGGTACGACTCCCGGCTCTGGATCCATCTCATCAACGCCGGCAAGTACTGCTCGACCATCATCGTCGCGTGGCTGTACATGAACTGGCGCGCGGGCGGGAGCGACAAGTCCAGCGCCGCCTTTGCCGTCTGGGTCCTCTTTGCCTGTCTCAACTCGATCTACACGAGCTCGTGGGACCTCGTCGTCGACTGGTCCCTCTTACGCCCTGGCTTTAAAGGTCTCAGACCCGATTTGGCCTTTGGATGGCCCGGGTTCTACTACTTTGCCATGGTCACGAATGTGCTGATTCGCTTTATCTGGATCTGGTACATCCCCGA